GGTGCTACGCGCTTCCCCGTTACGTGCGTGACGAGTCTGATTGATAAGTGGATACGCATACATATAATATGGCTTATATGTGAATGTCCTGGTGCACGGGTACATGCGTATTTTTTTCTGCAGTGCGATGGGAAGGTCAGGGGAANGCCGGTGTGGTACTATCAGCGGTTGTGAGGGGCAGACAGAGTTCATATGTCTCTGTCTGTTGGGTGGCTGATGTTTATACTGATGGTAAGGAGTAGACCGGGGGCGTGTGTGGTGTTGCCCTGCCTGGTCTCCGCTCTTTTCCCCTCCCCCTTGGCGAGCAAAGGGGGTACGCAAAATAATAATGACAAATTTCGAAAGCATCGAGAAAAATACCATTGCTGCTAGACCCAACCGGGCTCACATAGGAGGGAGGGACTGGGGTGTGTGTGTGGGATATCGCAGTGCCCCCTTCGCTTCTGCGGCCCTCGGGTTTCCTCGGGTGCATGCCACGCAACAAGCCCTCTGCCTGCACGAAGGGCGATCATGTCGCTGCCCTTGGCGACGTTGAGGGAGCTCCACCTGAAGCTCGCAGCACTCAAAGCGAAGGGCGTGATCCTTGAACGACAGTACGAGGTGATCAAGAATCATGTGAGGGAGGGCAACTCCCCCCGGAGCGAGACTGGGAGGCCTTCGATTTGGCGTAGGACCTGAGGAGCAGCGGCGTGTTCTCGGAAGCAGAGTGGACCACGCAGGTTGATGGAGACATCTCGGGCATCATCAACAGCGCTCGCCCTACACTGTCTTCAGACCACGCTGCCGCGTCTCGTCTGCATCCGGAAAGCGGTCAGCAGACGGTTGAGGGCGAGGGGGGCCACACGGCGAGGAAGTGGAGGACGGCGATTCTCGTGGTAAGTTGGATGCCCACCAGGGTTTTTCACTCCCCTGCTTTGTTGTTGCGTTTCCTGTTGCTGTTGCTTTTGCCCTTGCCGTTGCCGTTAAAGATATCACCCGTAGCCACTTGGCTCACCCTGTGCGGACCTTGCGGGCAATTAGACCCTGTACGGACGCTGTGACACCCTGCCAAGGTAATCGGTCCCCAGAAGGTCCACGGGCAGGAACCCTGCCAGGGTGTCGACGCTGCCTGGGTTGTATATGCAGGTCTGTGGGCCGTGAAAGGGAACAAATTGCGTTGCCATCGCTAATTAAGAAGAAGGGAAGATCCTTCAGTAGTCTAGTCTACACCGCTAGCTGTGGTGGCAGCTATGGAACATGCATGGACACCGGTGTCGACAGACGACATCCCATAGACGCACGTTGTGATAACTGTAAGTGATATGTTAGCCTTGGTGACGCCCTTCTCCCTCTCTCTTTCGCAATATTCATCATAGTACGGGCAGTTCCTCCCACTCGCTTGCTAGCAGCATTGTTCATACGGGCAGAATGACAGCTCGCTTGTGCTTGCATGCAAATGATGATGGTGATGCAAATTTGAATTTTCCGTGCTCACCGCGGGACTGTATTCCGTGCTCACGGACCCCCCTCGGACTCTTCATAGCCTAGCCGTCGCGCCCCTGACGCTGTTGGGATGGTGCGTGGGTCCGCGCTTGGCGGACGCGCCAGCGCAGCACGCACCACGCACCGCCAGTGCCGTGTTACATCCACACGTAACACTGGATGCCAACTCGTCTTCCCGCTACGCCAACGGGAGTCGGCAATACGGTGCAGTCCGGCGTTCTTGGCGGGAAAGCATGTCTGCAGCAGTACTGCTGTCAAGGTCCGAACTGCTGTGAACGAGCCTGCCGCCTGATGGTCCAGTGGTCGCCTCAACAAGAACAGCAGGTCAAGGGACACAATCGGGAGTAGTCGGGTGTAGTATTCCCGCGGCATCTCAATCGCAGGTGAAGGCTGCCTCCTACGGATGGGCATTCACGTGCACTCACGCACTTTTTTATCCTGGAGCCGCCAGCCACTTTTAATTGTCCAACGGCGGTCTGAAGAACAAAAAAATACGGGAAATTGACAAAATGGGGTTGACCCCGGGGTCTATTGGACAAAAAGGGGTCGCCTTTTTTCCGTGGCGTGGCGCGACCACACGCACACCACGAAACCCCCCAAAAACGCGTGCCCCGGCCGCGCACGGTGTGTGGGCACCTCCCCCAACCGTTTTTTCCGTCTTTGACACTCCAAAACAGCGTGCTTACGGCCGCTCAAAGCACCGCTTCCCCAAGACGACCCCATTTTGTCCACAACTTGACGGGGTCGACCCCCACCTCTAGAAAAATATTATCTCCGACCCCATTTTGCTTATACCCGACCCCTTTTTGCCTAAGAGACCACCCCATTTTGTGCATGCCGCCTCGCCGGCGGAGACCGTCTCTCCGCACCTCTCCGCCACCCCGCACGAAATTATCCCGCAACCAACGGCCGCATCGGCAAATGCCGACGGGCAAGCTGCCGCCGCCGGGCCATCCCGAGCCAAGATCCGACGCTACGACGGACGGACCGATGCAGAGCCAACAGAAATAGCCCGAGTAACCCTTGCCATCATGCTCAACACGCTCTCTCGCGCGCGCAGAGTCACACACGCTCTTCGTCATGTAGATTCCTTCCCATCAACAAGGCTTAAATACCTGACCTCTTGCCCACACTGCACAACCGCAGCGGAGACATATACGTTCAGTTTTTCCGTCCCTATACCCAAGAGGTAACGCAACGCAACCCGCTCGATGTGAGATATGAGACCGGAAAATCGATCAGTGCACAAAGATCCACCGCATAAAAATCCACCGCAATGTCGAAGAGGTCGGGTTCTCCTCTCTCTCGCGCTCTCCGCCCACCTCCGCGTTAGTCCACTTCTTTCCCCCTCTCCCGCCCTTTCTCAAGGGAGTGTGTGACGGCATCTGTGCTCGAGAACCATGTCGTCTTCCGCGGCGGCGCCGGCGCCACCGCCGGACACGTGCCCGCAGTCCCTGACGGTGACCCCTCCGAAATTTGGGGACGCCTTCGCATGCACCAGATCCCTGAGAATCGCGGCCGAACGCGCGATGTTGGCTAGTGGTCGGACACTCGTCTCCGACCACCGTGTCACCGGTGGCCATCAGAGGCTGTACCGCTGCTCCGGGGCCATCATGGAGAAGGGCACGAAGAACACAGGAGGATGCCAGGCTCATGTCCGCGCCAACAAGCGCAGAGACAAGCACTTCCACGTCACCAGCGCTTCCTTCGAGCACCAGAACTGCGTCGGCGGCAAGAAGAAACCGAGCGTTGCCGCCCTCGCCGCCGAAGGCGCCGCGGTCGTCCACGCCAACCGCAAGGTCACTGCTCCTGGGCTGGCGAAGACGCTGAAGGGCACCTTCGGAGTGGAGCTGAAGTCGTGGTCAGCGCACCGTCTCAAGCGCCGCGTGATTGGCGACAGCAAGGAAGAACAAGCGGAGGGAATCCAGCGGTTCCAGAGCTACATGGACCTGCTTGCGACCGACAGCTCCGGGACGATCACCAACTGCGAGGTGGGTGGGTGGGTGGGTCGGTGGTGTTGCTTTTGGGGCCTTACTTTTTGGTGACGCGCGCACCACGTCTGTATTCGGCGCCGTGTCGGGCGAAGCCAAGTGTAGACTAAAAGTAAAGGGAACGTAAATGTGGTTCAAATTTCAAAAATATTTTTGAAGCGAAAAAGTTGATGGCGAACACTACTACCACTGCTGCTGCTGCTGCTGCTGTATCCTGTTGCCGCGCGGCCGCGCACCGCGAAAAGTCGCGCACCGCGAGAAGGAAACCCCAGCGGTATCAATGGGGAGTTTTTTTTGTTTGTTTGGATCGATGACACTCACATGAGCCTGCCTCTGGTCCTTTTTGCCCGGTTGGTTGCATAGAGCATTACGCATAGCAGTAGTAGTGGTCGGCAAGAATTTGGGGATTTGACTTATTCTGACACACCAGAACAGGAAACCACCCAATTACACACCGCCGCGCGCGCCCTCCAAGGTCTTCCGTTGCCTCCACAAGCACAGAGTATATTAGGATTCATCCGACGCATGTCCACCCGCGCTTTTCCCCTTTGTTGTGGAGACGTGGTCTAGGTAATTGCGAAGGTAATTGTGACCCCTTGTGACAATCTGTTGGATTTGAGGCCCCCGGCCACCGAACATTTTCAAGTCATTCGGCCCTACTCATTTTGTTCAGGCGCACGACAACAACGATTGGCATAGGCGCATGCCTGGCACCATGTAGATAGAGGGGTAGAACATCGTGTGTGAAGTGTAAAAAGCGACCATACGTTCTGGAGAATGTGAGTGGCGCAAGGTTCATCAGATATTGAATCGAAACGAAACATACGAAGACATCTCTCCCGCGTTGGTTCCATACACATGTTTCTCACGGCAGTTGATCACGCGCCGCCACTTGACCGTGCGACATGCCCCTATAATATGCCCTCTGTCCACCCCTCCACGCTGTCGTGCTTCGCAGTGGGATGCACAAGGTCACCTCGAACGGGCATTCCTCATGCTCGGTCCGGTCGCCCACTTTGCGACTACAGGGGTGCCGCAGGTGTGGTGCAGACGTTGGGCCGGCTGTTTGCGGGGTACCTGTTTTAGACGGGGAAAGGGGCCCTGTTTCGATGGTGCCGGAAGTACTAGGCCCGAAGTATTACACTCGGCCCGCTGCTGTGCTCTTTGGTGTTTGAAGGGTTTAAAAGGCTGAAGTTGCACCCCTCCCCTCCCGGTGCTCCGCCCTGCGCCTGTGCATGCTGCGGACCGCAACTGTTGTCACTACCGTTAATCCGAACTGCCCCAGTGCGAAAAACACACTCGAGTTGCCTGTGCTGTGCATACCATACAACCCATTGCACTTGGACCCATTACAACCAGTCCCTCTGGTGTTTGTATTGGGCCTACATCGCGGCTGTGTTGTCAAAGAAATGTACGAGGGAACACCATTGACGTCGGTGTTCGCGCGTGCAATATTCCTGGGCCATATCATGTTGCCTTGATGGACTGGTCAACCCATTCCAAGTTGTCGGATGTTCACGTGGTATTACGTGGTGTACGTCCGCGTGCGAACCCTCGTCGAGTTGTGTCGTATATAGTAGGAGTTGGACGTCTCCGCGTGCCGTCGTTGGTGTCCTTGCGATCGGGGTATAGTGGCGGGCAATGTGAAACACTGAGTGCTTCGTGCACATGCCGCGTTTGGGTGTATCTCCTGCAAACACTTTCCTGAAGCCTTGACATCGCCTGGATGATTGTGCTCCATGTGGAAGCGTTTCCAGAAAAAAAGGCCGTTCGGGGGTCCGTATGATGGAGTGTTGTAAAGTCATGCACGCAACCATGTACCGTTTCACCTAATCCGTGACGCGTGACTTTCTTCTTGCCACACCCGCCACAACTCAGGTTGCCTGCATGGATTTCTGTCACATGACGGGCGAGTGGAACGGTGTGATCGGAGCGATCTGCGTCAAGAGCTCCAACAACAACATCGTTCAACTGGCGACGTGCATCGCCCCCAAGGAGAACGCTGCCGCCTACGAGTACCTCATCGACAACGCGTGCAGGAACGACGAGGTGGCGACCTTTCTCAACAAGCCCACCACGAGCATCATCTCCGATAAGCACAAGGGCTCGGAGTCGGCCGTCCCTTGCCGGCTGGACCAGTCAGAACACCTCCGGTGCGTGGAGCACATGCTCAAGAATGCCGGGACCGTTGGACCGGTAAGATGATTTGCAGGGATCTCGCGGGTGAATTTGTCCCGTTTATTCGGCCGTTTGGTACACTTGCCGCATGTGCTTCGCCTTTCGACGCAATATGGTATGCTTTGCAGATCATGTGTTTTGGTCGGGTGCATAAGAGAAGGAGGAGGAAGCAAACACTCGCGCTTTTCTTCCTATTCATTTTGGGACTTATTTTTGGCCCTTTATTTTTGGTCGCGAGAGGGATTCGGGCGTCCCTTTCCCTCGCCAACACATGAAGTTTCGTGCTCAGGAGCATTTCGTTCTGATGTTCCCCTCAAATTTGCGAAGTGTTCACCCCAGGGGATTCCAACGGACGACTGTGCGTGCTAGATGGTTTCGACGTAACCATGAAACCACCGCGACCGGTGGTGCAGGGATGCGTCGGTACACTGATGATCGCCTCGCCTCAATCGCAGTTGATGCCAATCACAAGCCCTTGGTCTGCCCTCCAAAAATGCACGTTCGTTCTTGCCGCTAGCTCTTGACCGTGTGTGTCGAAACTCGAGTGTTAGGATCGGATGGTGGGGTGTATCGCGTCCGTCACGGTTGCATCAGTGCGCCGCGATTCTGTGGCACGTGTGCCTCGGTGCGGATCCTCCTTTGGCCCCAACCCTAACCCTCCGCCCCCCCCGGCGGCTGCCATGTTCGTACAAGTAGAGGCCGAGTGTATTGTAAGGCCAAAACATGTACGAAGTTGCTGACCCATTGCCTCTGGCCCATATTTATGCGCAGGAGGGCCGCATGTTCATGTACGAGGCCGCAAGGGCGCCAGACAAGGCTTCGTGAGAGGCCTACATCGACAAGATCAGGGACCTCAACGCAGTGGCCGGGAAGAAGATCGCCGACGCTCCCCGCCACGACTGGGCGATGTACGCCACCCGTGGGAACGTGGTCCAAGACTGCGTCACGTCGAACATCTCGGAGTCGGCCAACAGCCAGATGGGAGCGGAGGTAAGCTATTTGCAGAGTGGAGCTAAGCTCGCGGGCCAGGCGGAGATGAAGGCCAACAACACGAGCGCCGTGCACACCCCTTTCGCGGCGGCAAAACTCAACGCCGAGATGGCGTGGTCACAGAAGTGAGGGCTTGTCCACTAGCATGCCACCGTTTCCGGTTTCGCCCGCCGATCTTTGTTGCCCATCGCCAATGGCCTGCTGCTGTTGTTTGGGTTTTCTCTTGCTTATTCCTGAGCGCTTGTGATGTGGGCCTTTGATATTTACGCAACGAAGAAGAATGACCCCACAAAAAGTGCTCACCGTTTTTCGTTGAGTACATCCTCCGTCCCTTCCCTTCCCCTCACCTCCCCTCCATCCCCTCCGCCCTCGCTTTCTTCATTAGGTGCGACGTCAGCAGTGTTGGCGGGGGGACGTACCTGGTGTTCCCGAACAACAACCACCGCCACTACAACCGCGTGGAGCTCAAATTCGACGAGCACGATCCTTCGGGACACCACCACACGTGCACGTGCGGGTTCTGCCAGAGGTGGCGCATCCCTTGCCGCCACGTCATTGCCGTGGCGAAAGGTGCGCTGACATTGTTAGTTCTTCGTGGTCGTTCGCTCCTTCACCCTGTAGGATGTTTGCCGCTGATGAGGTTTGGTTGGTTACCTCGTGCATAGGGCTGCTTTCGTTCTCGAGGGTTCGGTTTCCGAATGGATAACGCGTCACACAGATCGGTTATGGTAGGCAGCGTCCAATGACCTCTTTGTCCCTTTTAACGCCCCTTGTCTGATACTGAACTAGACTTTGAATTTGTTCGCCTTCCGCACCCATCACATCGCATGGATGCTGGTATGACATGACGCTATTCGTCCCAACATACTTCACTCGCATCGCGTCGTTGAACCTTCGCAGCCCGGAACGAGCAGCAGAGGCTCTTGGAGCTCATCGACGACGGATACCGGCTGGACAGGGTCCGCGCCGCGGCATCGGACGAGCGGTACCGCATCACCCCCCCGGTGTGGGCCGACCTCGTCGTCAACCCCAACCACAAGGCGCCCCTGCGGGTGGAGGGGCAGGCGGGCCGCAAGAAGACCAAGCGCGTGACCAAGCGCAGGAAGTCCGTCGGCGAGTACGCCACTACCTCGCGGGCCTACGCTCTCCACCTAGCCCAGGCCGGGGCCGGCTCCGCTTCCAACTCGGCGACGGCCGCCTCCAACGCCCACGCCAACGCCACTGCGAGCCTCTCGCAGGGGCAGTCGCAGGGCGCGGGGGAGCCCTAGACTCGCAGGGGTGGACGTAGCTTTCCACCTTCGGTCGCTTGGTGAAAGGGGGTCAGGTGGCCGGCATTTGCTGGTTGGGGGCGGGTAGAGGGTTCTGTAGGTGGATCCTTGCGTGGTGCGTGTACATCCTTGCGTGGTGCGTGCACCTTGTATGACGGTGGCTGCAAGAACGGCTCCTGATTTGGGGTGGTGGCCGGGGGGCCCCTTGAGATACTTTATTGGTTTCCTTTCGTACATGTCGCCAGCAGGGGGGCGCCTTGAGATACTTCATTGGTTTCCTTTCGTACATGTCGCCAGCAATTATTGCCGCGGTGTTGGCTGGAATATTTGTCGCGTTTCTCGGAAGGTGTTTTGGTGGTCTTCTGGTTTGGTTGTGGTGATCATATTTGTCCTACTTGTTGGTGCTTTGGTGGTCTTCTGGTTTGGTTGTGGTGATCACATTTGTCCTAGTTGTTTTGTGTCGACGGGCCCCGGGGTTGCATAGCTCGCGTTACGTGGTATGCGGTAGGCGTTGGTCCTTAGTCACTGCACATGTCCACATAGTAGCGCTGTCACGGCTAGGCAACGGCATGCTAGCTTCCTGTCTGCAGCCGTAGGTTCCTTCGTCGATTCAGAGAGGCCGAATCTCACATGGCCCCGATTTAATCCGCAATAGAGATATCATACTTCATGGTTGGTTGGTTTGCCCGGGCGATTTTTCGCGACATTTCTTGATAGACTTCGTTGTTTCTGCGCTACTGTCCATCATCGACCAAGAAACGACGACCCATTTCTTTCAAAGAACCGATGCCACAAACAAAAATCTGGGGAACTTTTGGCCCGCGCTCTCTCGTCCGTTTTCACTAGCTGATGTTGCCGTTGCCGTTTCATTTCTCAACTCGAAGCATCACACGAACTACGCCCGCCCCCACCACATTTTGTCCCAACACACATTTTTCGGCCCGTTTTCCATGAGCTCGAAACAAAACAGGCCATCAAAATTGTACAGAGAGCCACTGGTGACATCGCCCTGGGTACGAGGTTGAAGGTCTCCTTCATGTCTGTACAAGTACGCCCACTCTACGTTGTTCTGCTTGTTGACATTTTCGCTGTTGGTGGCCGTGGCGATTGTTGGCTTTGATGTGTCCCACTCATGAACTCATGACCTAACAACTAAATGGCGAAGTTCGACTTTGCGGCATGCCTACAATTAAGTACTCCGTCGGTGTTGGTGTCCACAGCCATGTTTGGCCTACAATAATTCGCGACAGCAGTAGTATTCGCGGATCGCACGTGACAAGATTATGCTCGTCAATAAAGTTCCCCTAATTCATGGACGATGGTGTGGCCATAAAAAAAATGGGCCTCAATAATACTCCATCCTAGATAGTGAAGGATGGGTACCACAGCTAACACAGAGAGGTACACAAGCATTGTCATTGAAGTCTTTATATGGGTTGTCTTGCCTACTGCCTTTCTCTATACTTCAAAAAAGTATTTAGGAATAGGATTTTGGGAGGCAACATGCTACATTTTTGCCCGGGAGCGGAGAGAGATCTCAACTGGGGTAAACTTTTCCGATCTCCCATAATTTCATCATGGGAAAGTTGTTTGGGTGTTTGGTTGGAGGGGAGAGAGCACCAACATCTGCGCCTCCGTTGTTGATGATTGTTGACATTGTTGTGCGCAGGCTTGTGCGCATTGGGTGTGAAGAGGTGTGTTGGGGGGGGAAGTGCATGGGTCGAAGTACACATCGCGCATGCGCGACATCGTCGTGTATATATCACATGGAGTAAATAAATGCATGTGGTGTTGGGCTCTGCATCGGTCCGTCCGTCGTAGCGTCGGATCTTGGCTCGGGATGGCCCGGCGGCGGCAGCTTGCCCGTCGGCATTTGCCGATGCGGCCGTTGGTTGCGGGATAATTTCGTGCGGGGTGGCGGAGAGGTGCGGAGAGACGGTCTCCGCCGGCGAGGCGGCATGCACAAAATGGGGTGGTCTCTTAGGCAAAAAGGGGTCGGGTATAAGCAAAATGGGGTCGGAGATAATATTTTTCTAGAGGTGGGGGTCGACCCCGTCAAGTTGTGGACAAAATGGGGTCGTCTTGGGGAAGCGGTGCTTTGAGCGGCCGTAAGCACGCTGTTTTGGAGTGTCAAAGACGGAAAAAACGGTTGGGGGAGGTGCCCACACACCGTGCGCGGCCGGGGCACGCGTTTTTGGGGGGTTTCGTGGTGTGCGTGTGGTCGCGCCACGCCACGGAAAAAAGGCAACCCCTTTTTGTCCAATAGACCCCGGGGTCGACCCCATTTTGTCAATTTCCCGAAAAATACTATGATACAGCAGTAGTCTACATAGCCTGCCTGGTGCGTGCCGCGTGCGCCGCGCTCGCATGCTTGCACGCTGGCGCACACGCCCGCCTCAAGAATCACCTTGCTGGCCAATGTTTCCTTGACAAATGCCTTGGCACAGTGCTCGTCGAAGAGAAATGTACAATAGTTACCGTGTAGTCGCATAAGACACCACAACCCCCGGATCAAAAGCTCGACTGCCGTGTTCCATGCCCGTACTCCACAACGAAGAGGGTGCCGAACCAAATGGTCCGTTTTCGGAAAGCTCTCGAAAAGACGGTTCCAACCCCGCCATTTTCGGCCCCGTCCCTAATTGTGGTGCAGACTGCTGTAGTCGAGCGTTGATTATTGGTCCAGGGATTGTGGTATCTTACGCGACGCACGGTAGGAAACTAAACAACTTGCCGTGTCATATGCATACATGCATGCATGCAGCGGGTAATTGGACTACACGGATGTAAGGTCTCCAAGCTGTGGCTGCTGTAGCTGGTATCCGTTGCATTGAGTATACTTTAGACTTGCGTGATTTCCGCGCAAATCAAAGATTGAAAAAGAGAGCAAAACGCAAATGCAAGACTGGGATTTGATTTGAACGATTTGTAGACGGGCCTCTCAAGTTTCCCACGCCCAACGGGCTGATGCTGTGTGACTCAAAAAACGTGTGTGGTACTGCCCCAAGCTGAATAAAATTGCCCACGAGCTCCTCCGCCTCTCTGCTGTGGTGCATATATTTCATTCTCTTTTGGAATTTCCGCCCGTTCTTCGTTTCTTGGAATCCCGCGATCATTGGACATTGTTCTCGATCCACGGCCAACCGGCTGTTGAGCAAAGCAGCAAGTTAGCATCCTTTGGTTCAACGCGGGCTGCCCACGGTTGATTGGACACTATCACAACCCTCCCAAGTTTTTTTCAGCCCTTTCCATGCCTCTCATGGTTGATCGTCGTTGAGGTACATTGCCCGTGTTGCTTGTTTGTGTTGCTTGTTGTGTTCGATGTGCGAGGACCCCACGCAAAGCGCCCCTTTTTACCCCCTGTTGTGGTGGTGGCCGAATCTTATGGCAGCGATCCACACCATTGAGGTCGAGCTGCTTCCGAAGCTGGCGAGACGCAAGTCGGCGACCATTGATAAGGGAGATTTTTGAGGAGAATGGCGCGAGAATGTACACCGGCATCCAGACCGTATTGAAGGACATGTGAGCAATGAGTGCATGCATCGTTGCTACTGCAGTACCCGCTGTTGCCTGATGCAGTTTCGATGGAAGAAATTACCCTGCTAGGGGTCTGGTCAACTGTGTGCTTGTGACATGGATCGTTTTGGTGATGAGGTAATTGTGTCCTTGGTAGCGAGTGCAGATGTGGTCTTACACAGCCGCACGTTTCTCTTGTTCTTGTTCGGGGGCGCGCCCTGTGCTTGTTCGGGGACATGATATGGCGATTCATCAAGAAACGCCTGGCTTCGACGAGTACCTACTGTTGAAGGGACGACTTTTGGGACAGGACCTGCTTCACGAGTGCTTCCTCGCGCAGGTGACAGAATGGGTGTTTGCATTTTGTGCTTCATTTTACCTGGCAAATTTCCCCTCAACACTACCAACCGAGCCAAAGAAGGTGCCATGGACAACGTTGATTTATTCCCACGTCTACATGGGCCAGGAATAATCTCGCTGCATTTATTTCCTCCCGAAGTCCGACCCATGGCTTTTCCCGCAACTCTTCAAGACGCACTTGTGTATTGGCATGGGGAGGCATGGGGAAGGGGGTGCTTATCCCGATTGATAATTCCGTCGGAAGTAGAGGCTACTGATGCTTCTACTGAGTGACCTGGGAACGTTAAGAGAACAGAGAACCAACCATGGTGTTGGCAGAACCAGCGGGAAGTAGTTAAATAATGCCTCAGCATCTACAATCGTTTCAACACTACCCTCTCGAATACCCCGCCCATCCGGCCGGAAAAGTGGGAAACACGTTGAAATTCCCTCCCGGCGATCTTGATCCGCAAAAATGAGCAACCTCTCTACCACCCTTAGGGTGGTCGTTGTAGGCATCAAAGATTGCCCAGCCCCCCGGGACGAACGCAAAATAGCTACAGCCGTATGCCTTTCGGCAATCTACAGCTTGCTTCACCTCCGCCGCAGCATAGAAAATATATTTCGCATCCTGGACGTACGTCGGAAGATACGCTCAACAGGATACGCATGTTTCTTTGGCTCCTCACCCCATCTGCCTACCCGTGGTTTGCCCTTCTCTTCGTTACGTTTGGCCACGATGCTTGTGCAACATGCTGCACGCCAGGTCATGGCGCCCTCGTCGCCATGTGTCCACCATCCTCACGGAGTACGGAAAACCTGACATCGTGCGCTTCCTCTCCCTACTTGCGAACGGGAAGGGCAACCTCATCGTGAAGAGACCCTGCTCGAAGACGTGCACTTCGACGTTGCCAACCTCGGGCCTATTCGTCGACGAATTGTCGCGTCGCATGAAGTGATGGCTGAGTGTTGTGAGCACTCATTCCTTCTTCATGAAGTTGAACTTCCGCGCGGGGTCGCGAATTCGTTGGGAATACTCTTGGGCGTGGCGCTTTGTGTGGCGGTTGGGCATGTCCCAGCCGTATATTGCCTATGGTCAGCGTATTCGTCAGATTTTAGCCCAATATCGCCATACGGTGGTTTACTACTATTATGTGTCTTTATGTAAATCTAACCAACCGGCTGGCACGTGCGTAAGTTCGAACGGATTGTAGGTGGTGATATTTCGTCCGGCAGGGGAGAGGGCGCAACCGAGTATTGCGTGTGGATGGCAAAGAACATCATTCGTGGAGCAAATATGTTGCAAAGATTGCCGGCGTGAGCGGGATGGAGAGGATGACAATTGCTTGAGTGCTGTTTTTGAGAAGACAGGGAAGCGTTGTTTGTCTGTGATGTGCATCGTGTGTCCGGACCTCTTCGTAGTTTTTATCATGTCGTGTTTTGCTAGGCAGTCGTGTATCAAAGCGGGCAGACCGCGCCACCACTGAACCTCTTTTTTTGGCGGAGGCTTATTTCTTGTTTTGTCTACGGGGTACCACCATAGCGACTATATAGGTTAAAATGTAGATATCTTGCTTGCCTTGAAAGCCAAAATCTCAGATGTTGTTTTTTTTTAGGCTCAAGTTCTTCAAGTGGCGGCGCGTTCTGTATTTCGCACGGTTTTGCCACGAGACGATGAACGAACATGAACGCAAAGAAAAGAGTCCCGCGATCGCGATGGTAAGTGAAAAAAAATGGTGTACCAGTACAGACACCATACTAAAATCGCGGCCGCAGATTGCTTGCAAGGTGCGATTCGGGCCACCCTGGCAGGGTGGACCCTGTCCAGGGTGTTCAGCATAGACCTTGCAGCCGGTTCACCTTTCTGCCGTTCACCGGGTGGGGTACCCTGGCAGGGTGGGTTTTTGGCCACCCTGCCAGGGCGGCCAAATGGCAACGGGTGATGTTTGCGTGGATGACATATCAGTTTCTGCGACATTGTCGTTTGTGTGCCCGTCGTTGCAGAGACGGCTAGTGGCCAGATGGACGAGCTGAGACTTGTGGAAGACGACGACAGCATGGAATCGGGCGACGAGATTCACGCCATGGAGATTCCGAATGGGTTTCGCATTCAAGCATCTACACCGGCAGCTCTTGGCAGTTCGTTACTGCAGCGTGGAGTACTCGTTAGGCTGGGCATGGGGTGGTTATGAGGGGTGATCACTCGACAGTCTCAGGAGCGCACTCGCCACCTTTACGACTACCGTGTGCATCTCGACCTTGACCAAAGTACGCGCAGCATGAAGCTGCCGTTGGAAATGTACAGAGGAGATCCGGATGCGGTGGTGGGCTCGTAGAGCTTGCTTGAGAGGAGCAAGGTCGAGCAGGTGGATAGGGGCGGAGCTGCAGCCACGTTGGGCGTTAGTAGAGCGGGAAGGGAACGCAGGCCGAACGTGACCCTTATCGACCAAGAATGTCGAAGAAGCCTTCGGAGTTTGTTTTCATATTTGTACTCAACCGCGGGCATAGCTGCTGCGGTGCGTGATCCGGTCTAATTAGTCTGTTGTACAAGCATGTGTGTGGCCAAGTCGACGGCCAGTAATCTTGGTGCCTGGTGAATGGACAGTACGGGCATGGTACGGCGAATATGCACGTGCTGTGTGGGGATGATGCAACTCATTTTTTCGTAATAAATTACACACCAATTTCCACGTCCTATCGATGTATGTACCTAGCTGCGAGTCACCAAAGGGCGTCCTGGTGCGCCTCTGGAGCACTCGATGGTGAAATAAGAACAAGGACCCCGTTTTCAGCGACCAAATGTCTGACCGGAATAAGAACATGGCCAAAAGAACATGTGCTGGGGTTGAGGCAGCCAGTAAGGGTCGAGCCTCAAGCCAAATTTGACGTTCGTAAGTGCGGGCGCCATCTGTACAGCAGCGACAGCCTTGGGAGAATAGCAATGGAGTCATAGCGTTGAGGTGACACCATCTACGGTTCCACGAGCAGCATATAGCGATATCTCCCCTGTGGGAAAGGAGGCTAAGAAAAACATGTACGGAGGGGAAGAAGAGCAAATTTGATGTTGACGAATACCGTAAACATCGTAGTTTTTTTTTTACACAGTTTTGGACTGGGGGACCAAATTTTCCGATAAGAAATTTCCTGAAAACTTCGTGCGCGGGAAAATTTTCAGATTTAAGCTGCTTCATGTGATTGGCTGTGGGTCAACAGTCCTCCCACGAACTTCCCCTGTCCGCAGGTGCTGTTGTTTTTTCGTGGTGCGCTACGTGACAGCTAGCTGTGCACCTTGCNCAAGGGGCTCTAACTGCTGCTGCTGTTGAGTGTGCGTGCGTGCGTGCGCGTGTCAGTGTCTGCGTCGCTGCCTCAACCCCAGCACACGAAATCGCACCACATCAGTGCGGAGACAGGAAGTGATAATAGCAAGTTTGGTGAGGCAGATATAGCCGATGTAGACTACTGTTTAT